GTGGAACACCTAGATCTAAGGCTTTAACAGCAGCGCCCTCTGGTGCATTAAACCAGCAAAAACACATCAGTTAGACATTTATTTTTGATGAAATGACAATAATAAATAAAACGTTTTCGATCTATACATCAACACAATCGTTTTAAATAAAAATGTGCAAAGGAAGACTCCCAGGATGAAACATCCAGTAGAACCAGGGTGGGTGGCTTTGTGCTGGACCCACTGCAGTAACAGATGTTGTCCGTGTGTCCGACTCACGCTATAGGAACATAACTAAAGGGATGAGCCAGGTCTCCCCCTCCTTCTTCTGTTCATCAGCTGAACATCCTCATGACAGGATCCCACTCTGCCCTGGGATGCACTGAGGTGAGGCTGCTGATCACAGGCACCACCAGTCCCTCCAATCATCAACAGCAGGAACAGAGGGTAAAGTGTCTTGCCCAAGGAGTCTTTTATCTCCACCAATACAGGTTCATCCCCTTCAAATCCTCCTCCTTCTCCTTCATAATATTATAATTCCCAAAATATTTAATAAAAACATTAAGATTTTTTAAAGCTTCATTAAGACAAGGAAGCTGAAATTATCTATTCTAAATGGCTAAAAATGAAATAGGTGCACTTACAGCAAACAGCCACCGGAGGGCAGCATTTTCCCACCTTCTCTTTTTTCCTTACTGCTGTTTGTGGCCACCAGAGGGCGCAAATTTCCCACTCTTTTAAGGAAAAAAAAACAGTGATTGGAAGAAATTAGTGTTTGTACTAAGGAAGTATTTTATCTTTACCAATACAGGTTCACCCCCTTCAAATCCTCCTCCTTCATAATATTATAATTCCCAAAACGTTTATTAAAAACATTAAGATTTATTAAAGCTTCATTAAGACAAGGAGGCTGAAATGTTCTATTCTAAAGGACTCTTTGACAGTGAATAGTCTTTGCAGTGGCACAGTGGTTAGAGCTGTTGCCTTGCATCAAGAAGAGCCTGGGTTTGCTTCCCGGCTTGGGATAATTCTGTATGGAGTTTGCATTTTCTAAGACTTTTCTCAAGACTTTTTTCAGCTTCATTAAGACAAGGAGGCTAAAATGATCTATTCTAAATGGCTAAAATCAAATAGGTGCACTTACAGCAAACAGCCACCGGGGGGCAGCATTTTCCCACCTTCTCTTTATTCCTTACTGCTGTTTGTGGCCACCAGAGGGCGCAAATTTCCCATTCTTTTAAGGAAAAAAACAGTGTTTGGAAGAAATTACTGACTAGGTGCAAACCCACAACCTCCCGGTTTTGGGGCTGGTATTAAAATAGAATTTAAAGGTGTGGTTCACTCGTTTATTCAATGCATCTGCAGTGGTCTCTACTAGGAAAGAATGCTTTGTTTAGACGACAGGATTTGGAGATTTACTTCCTGATATCTGGGCATCTCACCTCTGACTGGCTAACAGCAACATGACTCTACCACTGACTTTATTTGCTCTGCTACGTTGATGTTTTATCTCCACAAACACCACCAGCCTGGAGGAGTTCTGCTGTGTGGAGTTGCTAATGTTAATGGTTATCTTCTACTGGCAGAGACGTTCTCTGCTGCTTCCTGGATGCTAAACCAACGACAGCCTTCCCCATCAAGAGACAAGATAGGTGAGTCCAAGAATATTAAGTGACAGGGTGACTTAGATCTGTCAAGCTTTTCTAATCCTAAAGTTTCACCCTCTTTTCTATCAGAAGCTAATGCAGGAGACTATTTTCATGTTCAGCCTGCATGACAATCAGAAAGGACCATTAAAAGGGGGGTTTTCAGTGTTCCACACCTTTTAAAAAAACGTAGAAAGTAAGTTTCCAAGAAAGAAAACGGCACAAAAGAACACAGAAATATTACCAGCTGCTAAAATCCTTTTTTCACTCTGCTGTGGTCTGTTGGGGTGGAAGCAGCTCCGGCCGAGACAGGAAGAGACTGAACAAGCTAAATAACAAAGCCAGCTCGGTCCTGAGCTGCTCACCAGATACAGCTGAGAAGACATGTGAAAGGAGGATGCTGGGGAAGCTGACCTTCATCTTTAAAAGCCCCTCCCACCCATTGCATTCCACTGAGGAGACCATGGACAGCTCCTTCAGAGTCAGTCGAGAAGTAAAACAAAACGCTACCGTAGATCTTTCATCCTCTCTGCACTAACAGTGTATAACTCCTCAGTTTAAGCTGAACGTTATCCTGTTATACAATAACATCAATGCAACATCCAGTATGCGTTCAATACCAGATTTACATAATACATATATCATGCTGCAAAGTTCTAGAACCCAAGTTTTTTTTTAATTTGTGGCTTTTAGTGGTCGAAGGTTACATTACTAGCTTACTGCCTATGTGTGTTACAGTGCATCTGGAAAGTATTCATAGTGCTTCACTTATTCCAATTTTGTTTATGTTACAGCCTTATTCCAAAATAATGGATTAAATTCATTTTGCCCATAAAATTCTGCACACAACACCCCATAATGATAATGTGAAAAAAGTGTCTTTGAAGTTGTTGCAAATTTATTAAACATAAAAACTTGAGAAATCACATGGACATAAGTATTCACAGTCTTTGACGTGAAGCTCAGAATGGAGCTGAGGTGCATTCTGTTTCCACTCATCATCCTTGAGGTGTTTCAGCAGATTATTGGAGTCCACCTGTGATCAATTAAGTTGATTGGACATGATTTGGAAAGGCACATACCTGTCTATATAAGGCCCCTGGGTTGACAAAGCACAAACCAAGCATGAAGACAAAGGAATTGAGTGTAGACCTCTGAGACAGGATTGTCTTGAGGCACAAGGCTGGAGAAGGTTACAGAAAACTTTCTGCTGCTTTAAAGGTTCCTATGAGCACAGTGGCCTCCATCAACCATAAGTGGAAGAAGTTTGGAACTACCAAGACTCTTCCTAGAGCTGGCCGGCCTTCTAAGCTGAGTGAAAGGGGGAGAAGGGCCTTGGTCAGGGAGGGGACCAATAACCCGATGGTCACTTTGTCAGAGCTCCAGAGGTCCTCTGTGGAGAGATGAGAACCTTCCAGAAGGAAAACCATCTCTGCAGCAATCCACCAATCAGGCCTGTATGGTAGAGTGGCCAGACGAAAGCCTCTCCTTAGTAAAAGGCACATGGGAGCTCACCTGGAGTTTGCTACAAGGCCCCTTAGGGACTCTCAGACCATGAGAAACAAAATCCTCTGGTCTGGCGTTACGTTTGGAGAAAATCAGAACCGCTCATCACCAGGCCAATATCATTCCCACAGTGAAGCATGGTGGTGGCAGCATCATGCTGTGGGGATGTTTTTCAGCAGAAGGAACTGGAAGACTAGTCAGGACAGAGGGAAAGATGACTGCAGCAATGTACAGAGACATCCTGGATGAAAACCTGCTCCAAAGCACTCTTGACCTCACACTGGGGCGATGGTTCACCTTTCAGCAGGACAATGACCCTAAGCACACAGCCAAAATATGGAAGGAGTGGCTACAGAACAACTCTGTGAATGTCCTTGAGTGGCCCAGCCAGAGCCCAGACCTGAACCCCATTGAACATCTCTGGAGAGTTCTGAAAATGACTGTGCACCGACGCTTTCCATCCAACCTGATGGAGCTCGAGCAGTACTGCAAAGAGGAACGGACAAAACTGCCCAGAGGTAGGTGTGGCAAGCTTGTGGCATCATATTCAAAATGACTTGAAGCTGTAATGGCTGCCCAAGGTGCATCAACAAAGTACTGAATAAAGGCTGTGAATACTTAAGTTCATGTCATTTTCTCAAGTTTTTTATTAATAAATTTGCAACAACTTCAAAGACACTTTTTCACATTATCATCATGGGGTGTTGTGTGGTGAATTCTATGGGCAAAATGAATTTAATCCATTTTGGAATGAGGCTGTAACATAAAAGTTGAATAATCGAAGTTCTATGAATACTTTCCCGATGCACTGTAGATACATGTACCTTTTTTTCTTCTAATTATTCACTCAAGTGTTGGTGCTGCAGTACCAAATGAATTTCCCTACTGTGGGATCAATAGTCTATTATATTCTATTTATAATGTATTCCTGTAATGATGTGCTTTTCATTATTCACCCACTGCTGCTGATGGTAAACTGACAAGGCTGTCATTTTGTGCCATTGATCTCTCTGACCACAACCAACACAGGCCTTTACATAAAAATATACATCCAAGTATTGCATACATATAGATAAGGTGCAACAGTAACAGCTAAACTGTAGAGTTGTACAGTCTTACAGCAGTGGGCATGAATGAACTATGATGACATTCAGTTTTACATCATGGATGTTTTCGTCTGCCACTGAAGGAGCTGAGCTGTCCATGACCTCCACAGGAAGGTGAGAGGGGTCCAAGGTGTCCCCTCTTCCATTCAGAATAGGTGTTCCACCAGGATGTTTCCTCAGCCCCTTCCTGTACGGACTCAGATGATTGTTCAACCAGAAATCTTGGTGATCAGATTGTTAGGTTTACAGCTTGCTGCTGTTGGTTTGACTCCAAAAAAGATGGAGACTGAACGGTCTTAATCTATTTCTGATGCTGCGAAGCCTTAACCTGGCAATCCAGACTAAATAAATATATTTAGTCTGGCAACATTCCATTGGGAGCCTATGTCCCTTTCCAGATAGAACGAAAAAATGAAGTACAAGTCAGCTGAAAGAGAAAGTAGCTTCAGACGGCAGGATTGACATTTGGAACGGGAACTGGGTTAAGACTTTGTAACTGGTCCTTCTCTGAAATCCTGCGTGCTGGTTTGGACCACTCATCTCTGCTGACTCATCTACTAACTGATGAAGAAGCAGTTAATTCAGTCTGAAAATGGTTCCAGTTTTTCCAGTCTGATACTTTTAGGCTAATTTGCCAAGCCTCTTGGGTTAAGCTTTTAGATTCCTATGCTAATGTTGGCACCAGGCTAACAGATTAGAGTAAAACTTCAAAGATGACATGAAACTACAGAACCGACTGAAAACAAAAACAACAACACAGACGTATAGTAGCAGTTACTTTAATAGGTGTTGAAGAAGTAATAGTTGCATCATCAAACAGTGTTATGACAGCGCTGTGGGCGGGGCGGTGGTGTCTGAGGGATCCCACCATATGCCGGGATTCCAGTAAGGCAAAGCTACACTAAACAATTAGGCTTTAACAATCAAAAATGGAAATGCGATGGTAAAAACCAACTAAATAAATTACAATAAGCACATGATTAACAACCTCACATGACATGCACTAATCGGAGTCAGGGAGGCTTATAATATGCGGCAGAACTTCATCGCAAACATGACCAAGACAAATAAAAAAACAACTAAAAACTACATTCCAGTAAAGGGCAGAAAGATCAGTATAAACATGGTGTTTGCTTCTGACTAAACTCTAAAAAAGAAACAGTAATAAATAAGTAGAAACTCAAGCACTCAGTCATTCTGATCCCATGAGTGTCCCGGTTTCACAAACCGTCTTCAACAGTCGATTACTGCAACAAAAAAAAAAAAAAAAACAAACACAAACCAGGGAATGATATTGTGCCACCACTCAAAACGCAACAGTCTCTTAGTGATCAGTCTCATGGATGTTTACGTGGGACCTGAAGTCTCCACAGAATTCCTCTGAGTTGACGGTGCAGCAGCTGTTCACCACCTGAACTGTTGTAACACATGAAATATCAGCCTCTCATCATAGCATTCCTACAGTACAATCAAGACAGAGTTAGAAAAATACAGGTATAAAATGATTACATTCAAGAAGACCGTACTAGCACAAAAGGGTAATATAATCATTTAGTAACTAATATAAGAATTTTACCCATTATACAAGCATTTCTAGATAGAAAAGTGAAGGGATAGCGGCACGCTTATGGCTGCTCTGTAGGTGTGGGACTCTTATTGACAGGGAAGGCCTACAATAAATTGGAAGAGAGCGGGTTAGAAACTAATTTTTAATACCTTACTGATTTTGGTTTTGGTCAAAAGGTGCAAATACTTTTTAAGGTAGAGAGAAATTGACTGGTGGCCTTTTGTTGCAGCTGGGTTCCAACACAACATCCTGTTAGATACAACTATCTGTGCTAAGTTACCTGAAGACTCAAACTGCCTTAAAAATAAATCCAGTGCAACAGTTATGCTAGCTTTATTGTTTCAATAACACATTTCTTTTGAATAAAACTTTTTTTTATTTGTTTTTTTTTTATCTCTTTGGCAAATCTCAACAAACTCTCTTCTCTAAGCAGACAAAAGCAGTTTGGGAGGGAAGACCACTTCTTCCTCCACAAACGAACAAAAGTAGCTTTAATCAGAGGGGAAAAGGACAACCCTGCCCGGGTGGTAGAAAATGTTCTTGGATATCTGGGAGGGAACAACAAAGTAAACCCCCACAGGTGCTTGAAAGGTCCTTCATCCGTACAGCCGAGTAGTAATCGATAAACCAATCACAAAGCATAATGTTGCTTCTTTTAGCTCAATAGCATACTCTACAGGAGCTAAAAATAGATTGCAAAGTCACAATGCAATATGAGACGCAACCCTAGACAAGTGTGTATGTTGCATGAGTCGCTCAGCTTGTCTCACAGCTGTACTTTTGTCTCCTAAAGATGTTCGGACAGGAAGGACCTAAGCACCGCTGTTAGGGGAGATGCTAATCAGACTCTAGAAACCCAGAGGCTGACATTTTTGTCCTTTTTCTGGTAAGGTCTGCGAACACATGAAACAGCCGGAAAGAGAAACGCGCTGAGGTGATGGCAGACAAAGCAAAGACGTCAACTGTAGAATACACTATTGGAGAACAAGGTTGGTTAGTGCTCCGTTAAATAACTATTTACTCAGAGGACTCCCCTCAGAACACAGTCACCATGGAACTTCTCCTCCTCCTTTTAGAGTAAATTGCAGCACACACACACACACACACGCAGACACACACACACACACACACACACACACACACACACACACACACACACACACACTCATCTGAATCCCCGGCCTGAACAAGATCCTCACCAGAAAGCATCAACGTGCTAGACACTAGATCTGTAGAGACCACTACGTCCGTCTCTCCTGACGTTCTGACAAAGAAACCAAAGATCAACCAGGTCCATTTATGGTCTGTGAGCTCTAAACTTCTAATCCAGATGAAGTAAAATGACCCTAAAAACATCCGTGTCATAAAGCACACACTAAGAGGAACAGGAGCGGAAAAGCTTCTCTAGTTATAAATATGCTTAGATTTAAAATGTGATTATTGGTCTACAGAGGAAAGAAGGAAAGAGGAGCTCTGAGGAAAACAAACCTGCAGTTTTACTGCATCCCTTTGGATTTTAATAGCTGGTAAACTAAACCCAACTACTGCCAAACCAAAGCCAAGGAAATGGAATGATTCAGACTCAAAGTCAACAACAAAATAGTAATAAACACCAGGCTGAAGGTTCATCTGCAGAACCTGATTAGATGTGCCCTCAAGGACCATTCATCAGACCAATAAAGTATCTGAAGGCCAACAGGACCAGAATAGTATGTCTTAATTCCAGAGAACCGTGCTCTCCTTTCAACACATTTAAACCATTTATGATCAGAAAACGTTTTTAAAACTCGTTTTACAGGAAAATCAGAAACTATTTGGAGACAGTTGCACATCAAGTATATTCTCACTCATCCAGACCATGAAAACCCCCAGGTGTTAGAATGGCTCAGGGAACATACTCCCGCCATTTTAGATTTCTGCAGCTTTGGTCAAATTCCTGTATTTTTGTGGGTCTGAGAAGGATCAGTGATGTGACAGCTGGAGTTACAGAAGTTCATCTTTCTGCTGTGTAAACCTGGACATCTGGATGCATCTCAGAACCGACTCTATTAATGGTAATCAACACAAAGTCAAGGAATGTAAAAGGTGGAACTCTTGAGTGAGGAAGTGAAGCACCCGGACCACTTATCGGGAGCACATGACAGGAAGTTCTCCTTTTGTGTAATAAACATGGGGCCATGACTGCAGCATGGAGTGAACAATGGCTGAGTGACACTGGTGTTGTGTTAAAAAGCGTTCCTCCTCTCCTTTATTGATACACTGGGCCTATAATGAGCCGCATATGGTGACCCTTTAGCTCCACTCGGGTACAGAATGATCAAAGTTCTACCCTACTAGAACACAACAGCACCTGCTGGGTACAAAACGATTAGTCACGTTGTAAAAGTGACTGCTGAGTAAAAAGTCGGGTCAGACTATAAAGTATGAGCTGGCAGCACCCAGATCAAGCAGAAGGTAAAGGACTTCCTTTCATCCCAGGCTTTACAGTAATATTTGTGAGAATCCCACTGAGGGGGAGTCACTGGCCCACCTGTCCAATCAGTGAGTCGTTTTGACTCGTCACACGACCAAAGTGTATGGAGTTCTGGTCACATGTCTAAGGGTTTGATTGGTTGTGGTGGTAGAATGGTCGTCTGCCAATTGAAAGATTGTTGTTTTAATTTCAGCTTCTGCCCAAGTGTCCTTGGGCAGAAGCTGAAGGTTATGTAGCCCCACCTACTGAATCCGCGGTGTGAGAGAAAATGACCAGTAGTGTAAAGTGCTTTGGGTGGTCAGTGAGGCCAGAAAGCTGCTTTTAGCATGGGGGGGTGTTGGATAGATGGACCTCCTCCTATAATGAACGGGGTGTCCTCCTGCATCCTGAGCAAAATACATCACTGTTGCCGGTTTTTATCTGGGGGTTAATCTGCTTCAGTCTCAGAGCGGTTTTGTGCCAGCAACCATTTTTCTCTGTATCTCAGATAATTCTGCAACATAGGAGAGGTGGAGGAAGGCATGGGCGTGGCCTCAAGTGTCAGGTATCAACATCTACAACACAGCCTCGTGTTGGACTTGACCTGTGTTACCAAACAGGGGCAACTGATTGTCGTTTTCATTTGTAAATAGAAATGCGGTCTTTCACTGAGACAGAGGCACCCACGGTGGGGGGTCCATCTTTGCTACCAGGGTGGGGGGGCTGTGGAAGACCTGTGCCAGACTGACAGGACACAGAGTAGGCCCCCAGCTAGGTGTCTCCCAGGCAAAGGTTTCAGAGCAGACTGAGGGTTTAACAAGTGCTGTTGTTCAAGTGGTCAGCTAAGGAGGCAGCGGGGGAGCAGACAGGAGGAGCTCTACAGCAGAAGTGTGTGAGGTAAAGATGTTTCAGAAAGCTGGAGGTTTCTACAAAACGCAAGACCCCTAACACCCCCCCACCCAGAAATGGCCTCTTTTGACCGTAACATAAACAAATCTATCAAACCTCTTAAAAAAGTTGCCTGTTTACTCTATTTCCCATTGGGGGGAGGGGGAGGGGGGTCCTCTCATCAGGAGTGTAAGGTACTCATCCATAATTTGTTTGACACAAACAGTACTCGGTGGTTAGCATGCCTCACTGAGCCGCGTACTGTCGATGATGGACTCAAAACAAAACAAGCTAATGTTGCTTTAATGGTTCGAGTGCATAGAACGGATCCGTTTAAAGGGATATTTTGTTGTTGTTGTTAAAAAGCAGGCCTGTGAAGTCTGAGCATGCTCAGTTCAAAGAACCAGGGAGGACAGGCAGGGCCACCAGAACAGCTCATGTCCACCACCAGTAACAGCTGTGGGTTGTTGTCCCTCGCTACGGTTTAAAATCCATCCTCTGCTGAGGAAGAAGTTTAGAGTTTCACAACTCAGAATTTGTTTTAATAACTTAATGTTTCCATAATAAACTCGCTCTGGTGCCACGGTCACAGAACACTCACCCCTCCCCTCGGGTTTCTTCCCTGAGACGAGATAGCGCTAAACATCAGTCGCTGCTTTCTTGGTCCAAATGTCTTTTGTTGTCCGTGACGTCAAACGCCGTTTTTCTTTTTGAAGCTCCGGTAGTTTGTCCTAAATTTGTAGCGGTAGCAGCCGGCTGTTTCTCCTTCTCTGATGTTATTGAGAGAACCTCTCACACCAGTGGTGTCCTGTTGCTAAATGCGTGAGTGTGTGATGAGTGGAGGACCCAGGGACGTGCGACAGTTCGGTGAGACCGACAACCGGATGGTCCAATAGTTGCTTTTGGTCCGAAACGTGTTATTGGTCGAGGTTTTTATGCAAATGTGAGAGAATCCCTTCATTAATTATTTTCAGTTTTTTAATGTCTACAATACATTTCTAGCTTTACTATGTTAAAATGTTGTTTAGACGCATAAACAAATGTTTTAAGTAGGGATGTCCCGATCCGATCACATGATCAGAAATCGGCCCCGATCACGTGGTTTCAGACTGATCGGGACTCGGCTTTACTTCCCGATCCAAGCCCCGATCCAGAGTTGGATACTGGGTTCAAATTAAAGGAGAGCAACTTGGTTCTCCTTAAAGGTTGTCAGGCTCCCCTGACGCCCTTAACTTACACACCCAGAAGGAGCACAAGAGATCCAGTTTCTACCGATATTATATTATTTATATGGACTCAGCGTAGCGGAGATTCTTTTGAGCAGAGCAGCAGGCAGACCGCTGAATATTCATGAACTCCAGCTGCGTTCTGCACACGGCCACAGTCACATTTTCTAAGTTTCTAAGTAGCGTCACCAAAAATGTATATTTAGCACACAGTCATTCGTGTCCGTTCATCTTCTCTGGTAAGTTCTGTCTGTATTTGAGCATGATGTGTGGACGCGCTCGCGCTGCAACGCTCGTCACTGGCACAGCCGGGCAGCGCGGCGCACACTCTGCTTTTTTGCGGTCAATAGATCAATTTGATCTGCTAGTTAAAAAGTAACTTGTGAGGTGAAAAAGAAGGAAGCAGGCAGGAGTTTTTCTGGAGGACTGGGAGATGCAGGAAGATCAGAGACAGACGGGACAGGAAGACGGGAAAATAAAACCCGAGAAAACAAAACAAAGATTGATCCCACTACACGTTTGTACCTGTATAAAGCAATAACTTATCAGCATGTAGTTTTTATATAGTTGATACAATTCAGATCATCTTCAAAACTCCGTCCCATGCCCAGGGGCGTATCTAAGCATTTTGGGGGCCGAGGCTAAATAGACCCCTGCCAGGTATTTTAAGTTGAAGTGCTATCTGTTTTTATATTAGACTTTTTATATTTGCAATAAAGTCCAAAAGTGAAGAATTCATGTTATTTATTACTTGATTGTTCAAGCTACCTCACAGAAGTGTTCTGTTGTTAAAAATTTAAATAAAAAGGTAATTAAATAAAAAATAAGGAACATTCTGGAACTGTTTCTTCCTTTTCTTTGTCTTTTTTTTTTTAAATGTATCGAAAGTATCGGATCGGGACTCGGTATCGGCAGATTCTCAAAATCAAATGACTCAGACTCGAGGACAAACAAACCTGATCGGGACATCCCTAGTTTTAAGCTAATTTGTTTTCCACATTTGCCATTGCAGCTCTAAGAGGAAGTAACAAGCTAACGCCGACGGCCAGCCGAAGCCTGAAGACGGTGACACAAGCAGTGATTGCAGCTGTCAGAACATGGGAGCAGCTGGTCCAGTTCTGTGACAATAAAGCTTTTTCAAAAACACAAAAACTGACAGAGTCAGCTCCTGTGTTCAGAAACAAGAGTTTTGTCAAAGTAGCTTCAGGTGAGAAATCAAGTGACTTTAGTTTGCTGTTGAGACATGATGGGCTTTAGAATCCAGTCCTCCGGTCTACTGCTCTGACCTGGGACCACACACACCACATCTGGTTGGTAATTCACTTACTGAAGGAAAGGAACATGCTTAGTTCAAAGACACAGCTAGTCCTTGAGAAAGGCGTCCACCCTCAGACCAAGGGAAGGTTTGGGGGAGACACTGAGACACCGACAGGCAGAGGGACAAGGGTAGGGCTTCTTTCCTGACAGCTCCAGACTCAAAGGGGGACCTGGAGTCTGTCCAAGTCATCCTGATGAAGAGACTAACGAGGAAAGAGAAGCTCCCACACCACCGTTTGGACATCTTCTCATCAGAGCGGCAGCAGGACATCACTGATCAGCGCAGGAGATGAGAACTGGAGTCTGGGAAAGCTCCTTCTTCTGAGTCTGAGCCAAGTTCCTCTGGCCTCTGAAACAGGAAGTGACAGGAAAGCATATTTAGAAAACCCACCAGGGTGGTTGTGTTCCCATCCGAGAGTTCACATGAACCCAAAAAAAAGATTTGATCCAAAACATTTATTCAGAACAGAACCGGAGCTGCACCGACACCAGATGCATTCCAAGCTGGTACGAGTACAAGTACTTACAACCGAGTACTCTCTGAAATGAGTACTAATAAACGTTACACTCCTTAAACTTAACTTTATGTAAACTTATACTCCTCTGGAGGTTTCTTCCTGTTAAAAGAGAGTTTTCCTCTCCACTGTCGCTAAATGCTTGCTTAGTATGAGGATTGCCGTAAAGACACTGACACTAGTCTGCTGGGTTTTCTTACATAGTGAATGTTTAACTGATTGGCTTAATGAACCGAACTGTATTGGAATGTTTACTTTGTGAAGTACCTTGAAAAAACTCTTGTTGCGATTTGGCGCTATATAAATAAACAGTATTGAAAAAAACTAAATAGTATACAACTAGCATCTTACTGTATTACTGCTGTATTATACTGCCTCAGAACCACCCTCTTATTGCAACAACTCTGAATCTTTTTAACCAACAGCAATAACTTTTAGTAGTGTTGCCGTGTTTTACGCGTGAGCTGTCCTCATGCTAAAAGTGTGACTTGTTGCATAGGTGACCTGCTCACTGACACAAGAAGACAGCAAATGGGTTTTACTAATTCAAAGATACTTTATTAATCCCAGAGGGAAATAATAACACCTCCACATTGCTGACAAAGCTCCTCTTTGGCTAGTCGTCCACGGTACATCAGCGGCTTTTTCTGCTTCTTTTAAGTGACCTGTGATTGTTATCGCTAATGGGAGTTAACTTTAGCGAAGGTGCATTCAAGACCAGGAATAATATTGGATTATTTGTTATTGTTGCCAAGTCACTCAAGGAATGAGAACTGAGCAAACAGCATGACGGGAACATTTAGGAGCGTTATGTTTTGTTTAAATGTAGTTTATGTTTATTTATTTGGCAGACGCTTTGATCCAAAGCGACATACAATTGTGAATCTATAGGGCATGTTGTGGTCATGTTTATTTATAAAACACCAGTCATCTAGATACAGGGATCTCAAAATGACACATCTGCACACATCTGGTTAATTCAGGACCCAATTCAATTCAGTTCAGTTGTAACTAAATTGGTCGATAGTGAAATGAGTGGAAACCGGACTGGATTGAATTCTAACTTCTATGCAGCCCTGCCTCCTGAGCAGCACAGCATGAAGGGCGACCGTGGGAAGGAAACCTCCAGCAGAACCAGAAAGAAATCGGCTGTTAAGTCTGTCGAAAACAGCTGATCTGAACCCTACAAGACAACGGGTCTCCTTACCGGTGAACGTTCTCCATGGCTGCTACCTCAGCAAGGGCAGCCAAGCTGAAGAAAGCAGGTAGCTCTTGTGGAACGGTGCTCCTCTCAGCCTCCTCCTCTCTGGAACTACTGCAGCACCTCGTTTCATTGCATAAAGGTTGTTGGGTTAATGGCTTCTTATCCTGGTCCTGGTTGGGGTCCCTAATTTTGTCTTCTGTAGAAAATAAAACCCAAAACAAACTAAATAACTTTTGCATTTACTGAGATGTTTCATCACACAGCCCCAAGCAGTCACTTCTGTTTAGTTAAAGAGACAATGTGTAGTTTTTACCATTTTTCTCTGGAAATTTACATGAACATGTTGTTGAAAATGAATTAAATGATGCCTAGCTTTGTAACATATATCCATAAAGCCAAGATGGGTGAGTCTGTGACTGCTAACCTGACATTATGATGCGCTAACGTCACTGGCTTTCCTAATCCGAGAGCTTCCTCATCTAGTTTCTATCGACGGCTAATGCAGGAAACGGGTAGAAGAATATTTTCACATTTAGCCTGCATGCAAAGAAAGTTTCTCAGTGAACTTGGCCTTTAACGTTTTAGCCTGGCATTGGCATGGCGACGCTGCCATTCGAATAACCCTAACCCTCTGAGAATCCTAACAATGGGCGCTGAGCAGCGTGTCAAACCAGTGTTGTTTTAGGTGGGCTTCTTACTTCTAGTCTTAGTCTTGATGACGAAAATGTATTTTAGTCTTTTTCAGTTTTAGTCGACAGAGATTTTTGATTTTAGCTGCCCCAGATTTTGTCCAGTAAAACTATAACCCCCAGACTGGGATTTTATTTTTTTCACTTGACTGATTACAGCAGTAGCTCAGGAGGTAGAGCGGGTTGTCCAGTAAGCAGAAGGTTGCAGGTTCGATCCCGGCTCCGACCTTGAGCAAGACACTTGACCTGCCTTGCCTGCTGGTGGTAGTCTGAGGGCCTGTGCTCGGCAGCCTCACCTCTGTCAGTGCGCCCCAGGGCAGCTCATCATCACCAGCGTGTGAATGGATGAATGATACACTGTAGTGTAAAGCGCTTTGGAGTCCTCCGACTCTGAAAGGCGCTATACAAGCGTGGATCATTTATCATAATCTCTACAGTGTATACAATTTATTGATACAGATCCGGGTATTACTCAGCAGATTTTCACTAAATAAATAAACTACACTGTTATAACACCTATAATTCTACTGTTACTAGTAAAACGTTTTATTTTAAATAGATACAATGAAAAGAACATTCAGTTATCAGTAGTGATGCTTTCATATGTGAACTTACATTTAAACTAGTACTATTTCATTTCAGACCTTCAGCCTGCAGCAAACCCAAAACACTAACTAAATGGTTACGTTTGTGCTGGACTTCTGATGCGGGTGGAGGACCAACTTCCCTCAGCCGCCGAGGCTGGTCCGCTGAGCAGAGGACAGACGCCAGCAGCGCTGATCCTTTTAACAATGTGAGACGCGCAGAAATGAGCAGAGTTTTCGTCTAGCCTCGGCTCGTCAGCGAAAACTCCCGCAAGGCTCGTCGTGTTTTAGTCACCAAAGAGCTATTCTTCATTTTTGTTATGAGAAAAAGGGACGTAAACGAAATCAGTTTGCCATCATCACACTGCGACGCTCAGTTTCTCATAAACAACAAAGATGGCGTCTGAAGTGGAGTTCGCTGTGGCTCTTTCCTCTGTTCTAAACGACTTGGACACGTCTTTAAAACTACAAGAAGACACACTAAAAGCCGTTCTTCTAAAGAAAGATGTTTGCAACCGTCGCCATCTTTGACTAAAGCTCCACGCGATACAGTCGTCATTCCCACCGTTTTCTGGTTGGCTATTTTTGAACTGGCTAGTCCCGCCCCTCATAGTGCTGCCTGCGTCTGAGTATCCAGACTCGTCCTCTGTGTAGAACGGACGGTTTTAATATATAAAGAACACTAATGTGGACCCAGTGGTGAGGACTAACCTTCAGCTGGAGACACGCTGCCATCGGCCGTGCGAACCAAATGTGTGATCTTGGTCCTTCTGGCCTTCCTCTTCTGGCTACCAACCAGCATCTCCATACTAGTGGTGCCCTGGACATCTGGAAACATCAGAGCGACGGCAGCACGTGATCTGTCTTTTGAAGCTGAATCCAGTGTAGTGAAGTCACTCTGAACCACTACAGAAGCACAGTGTTAAAACCAGTATCACCAGTAGCTCAACAACATGTTGGCTCCATAATCATTTGTGTCCTCATTTCTAAAAAAAAATAAATAAAAAAAGGTCAATTATTTGAAAAAACAAACAAAGTAAATAAATATAAATCAGTGTTTAAAATAAATAAAACTGATATAATTTTGTATTTTGCTCCAAATGTTCTCTGTAAAATCAGTATTTGACTCCAGATTTCAAGAGAAACAGCCGGAGAGTGGTTGTAGCTTCTCTGTTTTGGAAGCAGATTCATTCCAGGACAGAACGCAGACTAGTCGGTTCTACCAGCGAATCAATTAATCAGTAGGAACCAAGTCCTTCCACATGTAGAGCTGTCATGTATGTTAGTGTGTTACTGCGAGGACTGGTCCTGGCGCTGGTCTTGAATTATGATTTTCTTTAGCGTTCTCAGAGAAATGTGTTGCAGTCTGGTGTTTAACGAAGAAACCTGCAGCTGAGTATAGAGTAGAAGACGGACCTTTGTTTGGCTGCACTCCTTTAGCAGATTTAGTGGTGTCCTCTTGATGAGTGGAGCCGTCTGTCCTCCTTTTCTTAGCGACGGCTGTCCCCTTCTTATCAAAAGTTAAAGGGCTGAACTGCGGCAGGCTGTTAAACTTCCTTTCAAACTCCTCCTCTAATTTCCCTAGGCTGGAAAATACCATTAGGAGTTAGGAACAGTGACCGTACCATTAGGTGGTGTGTGTGTGTGTGTGCGTGCGTGTGTGTATGTGTGTATGCGTGTGTGTGAGTGGTTCCCAGATAAATGTGACGTTTGACAACACTAATCTGGTTAAACTGCATGAAGGTGGCACTAAATTAATGATTTATTTAACATTAACACAAAACATTCTAAGTTTTTCTGAGACTTCTGTTGTTCTCTGCAGATTTTAAACAATTTCTATTTTCCAGACGGACAAAAACACAACTACGGGTGCGTGCGCGCGCGCGTGTGTGTGTGTCAGCCCAATGAGACGACAGATGACTGACCCCTGTGAAGACTCATCTTTGGACTTGGATTTTTTCAGCTTCTTGGGATTATTGGGTCCGATCGGTGAGACCACACAGCTGTCATGACTCCAGTTAGCATCGTGATCAAACGCTCGGAAAGCACCTCTTTTACCTGCAAACAAGAGTTAGAAGAATTAAAAAGTCCGGTAACACTTCGAGGACGTGCTGAGTGGAGTAAACCCTTTAGGTACCTCGATCGATGTTGGCTCTGAGCGAGGTCAGCATCCCCTCGGACACCAGAGTTTTATACAAGGCGCCTTTACAGCTGCGCTCTGATTTTCTGGAGCCGCGGTTCTCTGTGTTCCCTTCAGAGGCTGGGTCACCTGGCCTCTCCTTCACCTCCTCCAACTGAGGGAGCTCTGGTACATAGCCCTGGAGGTCTGTGCTTATATCTGCTGTTTCCTCATCTGCCTTGAGGTTAATATCAGGAATGCCATCTTTCATCTCCACATCAGAGGAGCCATGCAGCCCACTGCCATCATCTAACGCTTCTTTCTCTTTGACAAACGTCTTTACTTTGGCGTTACTTTTCTTTTTGAGCAGACTTAACCTTCCACCAGCGAGACTGGTGTGGGTCATGATCTTGGGCTTGCCCTCCGAGTCCACCCAGGCTCCTCTGGCCACCGCATCAATGGTACTAAAGACACTGTCCACGCCGGACTCTGGCCCGTCACACTTCTTGCTGATCCTCGTTGTCGCATCACTGTCGTTTGTCTTGACCTCTTCTGTTTTCTTGTTCTTCTTTTTGACACATGTACTTTGGCAGCTGTTGTGTGGGGGAATGGCATCAGTGGAGGTAGAAGTGACAAAAGGAAGAGAAGGAGAAAGTGCTGATGTGTGAGTGGAAGCAGGATAGTGGTCAGTGTGTGTGCTCTCCTCTTTAATCTGTGGGGGCTTCATGGTGGAGGCTGACGAGGAGCTGTCCTCTGGTTCAGACACTGCTGTGTCCATTTTTCCAGCTTCAGATGCTAAACACATCTTATGGAACCCAAAAACAAAAGACGAGGTTAGAAACTAATCACAAAACATGTAAACAATTATTGTCGTCCCCCCCCCCCCCCCCCCCCCAACACCCACCCACACACACACACACACACACACACACACACACACACACACACACACACACACACACCTAAAGCCCTTATCCACCTGTACTATGAATCTAGAACAAACTGCCAGTTTCTATTCATGAGTTGAATCCTAACCCTTTGGGTTAGCTTGGGCTATCCTGGCTCATCCCTTTAGTTCCCTTTCAGTCGATTCACTCGGTACAACCAAGCCCCCACAATGCGGCTCAAAAATTGAGGCCAACCCGGAAGTACCAAAAATTGCAGTTCCACCCTCATCCACTGGGGGCTGGTGTCAGAAGCGAGCAAATCCTCATTGACTCCCATGTTAAAAATACCAATTTCACAGCAGAAATAAACATGTTTACAGCCTGGTACCAAAACATGTTTTTGGTTTAAATGATCTAGTTTACACTCATGACAACTCTGAGGAGGGTGAATTTTTTTCTCACTCTACTGTTTAAGTGTATTAAAAGCCTAAAATTCTGTATAATTAATGAGCATCCGACCCACGTGACCACAGTGCTAGCTCCGTGGAAAGGCCTCAGTAGAGCCTCGGTCTGGCTTGGAAACTGTTCCAGGATTTAGAGTCTCTGTGTTTGTGTATTCTTTTTTGGATATTATTTGTGCAATTGTTGGACAAAATGACCTGCTGTGGCATTAATTGCACTAATAGAGCGTCCAAGGAGTCTCCACTTCATTTTTTCGGTAAGTAAAATTATATTTATGTATTTTAGGTCACTGCCGAGCTGAGCTTAGATTTTAACATGTACTGTTTAACCATGAAATTTAAATGTAATAGGGTAAAACCCCAGTGCATTTAACATAATGCTGCATTTTAGAAAATGGGTTGAAATATAACATGTTGATGGAGCTGGGTTCCGACTATCGGCTTGTGGAGCTCTCGGGAGACCGATATTTTCCACCCGTTCTCCCCTCCCTGTAGCTCGGCGCATCACTGTCTGATCGCGGCTTCTGTCTGCTGCGCGAGCTGTCGGCTTTCAGCAGCTTTCGGGAGACCTCCGTGTTCCACCCGGTTTTACCCAGCGGTCAGCCCAGCATATCTCTGACTCAGAAGCTCTGGAGTTGTGCGCAGTTAACTCCGGTTGTAGCTAGGTTGCTACCTCTGTTAGCTTAGCTCCCACCTCCGCGTTAGCTTGTAGCTAGTTCGACCGGGTGTCGTCAGTTGATCCCAGCCTTACAGCCCCACCCTCAGCTCCACCTCTCTTCCCTTTTGTGGAATTGCCTGGGCTTGACAGAACCTGTGACACGGTCAAAATGGCGGTGGTGGCCACCTCCCATTTTAGCACAAAAACTTATTATTGGAGTCTATGGAAACCCATTGCCCAATATTTATATGTCGATGGGTACAACGAAGGTACTATGGGACTTCCTACCCTCGTGTGGCCTGGCTGAAGTCATATTTAATCATGCCTGTAAAGGCAAATGAGCGTGGTGCTGGGTGGTGGCCCCGCCCTCCACCTACAAGTTCCCAGTGTCACCAGCATTTTTCAGTTCTTATGCTCTTCACCTTGCTGATAACACGCGAGTACAAATAAACTATTGTTAGCTATGCTATTGAAAGGTTAGCTTAACCGCTCGCTGGTGTTGATTCGGCTGCCTTCTGGTCAGTGTTCGCTCACTGAGCGCTACCTTTTCGTGGCTGTTTTAGCTTTCTGCCTCCATGCTATTTTGCCCTTGCCGCTCCGCTCTGTGTCTCGCCATGAGCACCGTGGACTCAGCTAGGTGAAAGTCTGCCTCGCACCCCTGTCCTCAGGACTGTGGGTTTTTTTCTCCATGAGAAGCACCTGCACGAAGCCTGCCATGTCTGCATGTGGGTTCTTCATGCCAACAGGGCGCTCTCGGACCCGGAGGTGTGCAATTTCTGTTGCCAGCTCCATTGTCCCACGCTCAATCGGCATGTGAACTTCTTCCAAAGTGTCCTGGGGGACACTGCGGGTTTGCAGCAGGACCTCATGCTCTCCGAGTCAGCTCCTGCGCTTTGCACGGTTCCGATGCGGGCGGTCTAGTGATCGAGTTCCCCGTTGCTAGCTGGGCAGATCACATTGAGGTGACAGACAGGCAGATCAAATCCAACCTGGAGATTTCCCAGTTCTCTCCTCCGGCGGAGAACGAGTAGGCCATTTTCATTCGCTTATCCGGAGTCGGGTCGCAGGGGCAGTAGCGTAAGTCGAGAGGCCCAGACTTCCCTCTCCCCAGCCACTTGGGCCAGCTCCTCCGGGGAAATCCCAAGGCGTTCCCTGGCCAGGTCTGCTCCGACAGCTTCTGGCGTTTTAAAAAAGTATCCCAGGGGCACGGTAAGGGTCGGAGATGTTTAGTCTATTTAATTTCTGACTATATAAAAAGATTTCTTCGGTTTCAAAGTGTGAAGTAAACTCCGGCGGAGTAAAATCCAAGCCGATCCCGTTCATTTTGTTTACCTTTGTTGCCTGCCAACATGGCGTCTACTCTCTGAGAGTCAAGTGACGTCCAGAGCTCTATAAGTGGAAAGTATTTTGGAGTTGTGTAAGAGCAGGTCCGTGGTTCCTTTGCAGTACTCCATTGTGGAAATTTACAGGAACTAGTGGACAAGGGTTCATCCTTCTCCACACTGAAGGTCTACCTGGTGGCCATTTCTGCTTGCCATGAGTCTTCTAACAGGGTTTCCCTGTGAGATTTCAGATTCTTGAAGGGAATTCACAAGCTGAGGCTTGTTAGACTTTCTGCCCAGAAGGGACAGAAAGGGACCTCGTTTTGGTTCTAGAGGCCCTCTGTGGTCTTCGTTTGAGCCAGTTGAGTCGGTCAACATGAGGTTCCTGTCTTATAAGACAGCCCTGCTCTTAGCCCTGGCATGGGCTAAGTCAGGTCTAGGGTTACTCTGTGTCCAAACGCTGCATATATGCCCAAGGTCATCCCGCTGACCTACGGTTCCATGACCGTAGAGCTTTCGGCTTTTTAATCGTCCTCCTTTAGCCTCCCAAGAGTAGAGTAGGTTACATTGTCTGTGCCCGGTTCGTGCTCTACAGGTTTTTGTGAACTCCGATTTTCCAACTGTCAGACCAGCGGTTTGTGTGTTTTGCCAAACCCTCCAGCTTTGTTTCCCTGTGTTAAAGGGTTACTGTCTCTCAGCAGGACCAAGAGGTCAGAGCGCACTCTACTAGAGGTTTGGCTACTTCAAAAGGTGCTGTTTTTAGGGTGCTTCATTTAATGACATTTGCTCAGCTGCTAGCTGGGCAGCACACCACACTTTTTTTAGGGATTATACCGTTTGGATTTCATGGCCCCTTGGGTGGCTCATGAAGTTTTTTCTGCTTGGTCTGAGTTGCTATCTTAGATGGTGTTGTTGGCCCAGGTTTGATAGCTGCTAGTGGGGCGTACCGAGTGAAACGACTGAAAGAGAACGTTAGGTTATGCATATAACCACTGTTCCCTGAAGGAGAGGAACGAGGTACAACACAGAGCTGCCCCCTTCACAGCCTAACTCGGTGAATAGCAGCTATCAAACTGAAAAACGCCAGTGATGTACCTCGTTCTTCTCCTTCAGGGAACAGTGGTTGTATACATAACCTAACATTATGCTGCTATAGAGTGAGACTGCTGGAGGACACATGGCCCACATCTCTTCACTCTGCTGAATTTAAGCTCTTTTTTCTCTATATTTGTCATTTCTGTTGATGCTGCCATTAACTTTGTTCTTTGTTTTAGAAAGGCTGACCCGTTCCTGTCCTTCTGGGGTTGTCTCCGTCTCACCCTAGTCAGCCCCTCCTGGTCCTGGTTTCCTCCGGACCAAAGGGAGTTTTCCTTTCCACTGTGGCTCTCTACCACTCTGCTCAGAAAGGGGATTCCACTGAAGTGAAGCAGGTTCCTAATGACTTTTGTCTTCATTCACATTCACTTGGAGAAGGGTGCTACTAACCCCTGATCTACCGAATCGGACTGAAGTAAACCAACGTAACTGGGTCTGAATCTGGATGTAATTGACTTTGTAAAGAATTAATTTGTTATTTATTGGATCTGAATTAGGCTAGCAGCCTTTTAAAATAATGACTTTTATTGCGAAATGCTTCCATACAGGAGAAGTCCACAGGCTTCTGAGAGCCTTCAGGGCAGACGACACTGCAGCATTAGCAACAGAAAGCCAGAGGCAACCTGTCCTGACACATAAGAGAAGCTTAACAACAGTAAGAAAATATCTGGACACTTCAGTACCACCAGAGGTACTCGGTCTCTCTGGCACGGCATTCCTCAATCCTCACAAACAAGCCCCCATCACAGTCACGTGACAGTGGCATCTCACTTCTCAACAGTCGGTTTAGTCGGTTTGAGACACAAAAGAAAAAGCCGACACAGAAGACAACCTCCCCCCATGGGAACAAGCCCTATGTGCCAAAAGGTTGCAGGACCTGCTAACATACCTGGCCTACCTCTGAAGGGCTGTGCTGAGGAGCTCAAGGATGTCCTCACGGACATCTTCAACATCTCCCTAGACTAGTGGATTTACATGCAGGAAGAAAAAACGAATTCTTGGATTAGTCCAACTACATACACTTTAGTCCAACTAACATGGAACTCAACTGGCTTAATACTAGTCCAGCTAAGATACCCAGATAACGCGGTTAGTAGGGATGCACAGTTAACCAGGTAACTGCCATAAAGGTGAGGCCACTGCTGCAGCTCACAACTCCCAATGGGGATGGGTCAAATGCTGAAATGTATTTCACCTCTGTGTGATGATGACTAATGGGACTTTAACTTTAACTGGTGTCACATCCTTCAACTGGGCTTGAATGTAATGTAGAAGCAGTTGAGTCAATAATGACAGCAGAACAGCTAACACTAGCATTCACGAGTCAGGTCAAGAACACACACTCCCCCCTCACTGACGGTTCAGCCAGACCACACCTACACCTGGGAAACAGGAAGTAAACTCCCCCAGCAACTGCTACAATATATTTTGTGCCACTATAGGGCGCGAGAGCGTCACTATTAAAATATGTTGTCTCAAAAATCACAGATGGAGAGGTGAGCTCGTCACTCTGACGTAAGCAACACATTTACGCAAAGATGAAGCGGTCGAGAAAGAGCACAGTGTGGGAGCATTTTATCCTGTGTAGTGAAGAGAATGAGCCCCACATCGGCACACGCAGTCTGGCATGGAAATGAAGCCACACAGCAAAATGAACCGAGACCAGCAACAGCTCAGTCTGCCATGACGCTCCTGCTTGATGAGAACTGTTTTGTATCTGCCTACCAAAACTAGTTTGTTTAATGCACACAGCAGCGCCGTGTATTTCACGCCAGATGGCCGGCTGCACACCAGGTTCTGACGGACATTTCAGCTCTCATCACACTCTCACGCCACTTTGTTTATGAATATTGTAACGAGTGTGGGGCTTTGTTTGTGTGTCAGAATTATATCTGAAGAATAGATGGAAAGCACGTTTGTATTTGCAATAAAAGCTGCGCTCATTAAGTTTTTTAATAAGACGCTCCTAAAGGTATCTGTCCCCATCAATCCCTGTGCAGTCTGTGGTGATCTGAGCTCCAGCTCTAACGGAGAGAAGCTCCTGGAGCGCTTCTGCGCTAAAGTTTGCTGTCTCAGCTGACTTTGTTAAAAAAGCTAAACTTACGGCCTGAGTTAACTTTGTTTTTCGATACAGCTGCCGGCCGGAGCTCGAAATTTAACTCCCTACGTCATCGTGACAACGAGCTCTGTTGCGCCAAGGTGCAATCGACTTTCATGAGAGAATTTCTACAATATTATTACCAAGTGAGGCGGGACGAAGGCAGCAAAATTTGCGCAACGTCATGCCGGAATGGCGCGTTTATAAGATACACTGTTAGGGTAATATTACGCCGCTTTGCCAGCACAGCGTGTCTAGTAAAACGGGATTATGAGTGGCTGGTAGAGCAGAACATTATTCCCTCCCATGACTAGGGGACAAAATACAGATTTGGCAAAATATTGCGATATTTCAACTCACGAACGAGTACCAGTACGCTTTTTCCCTAAACCGTTTTTTTAACCACTACCGCACAAGTCCATTAGGGGGCACTACTCATGAGAATGAGCTAAAAACACCTGGCGAAGAAGAACACCAGGGACAATAAGGTGGAGTTGCGCAGAGGGGAAAGAAAAGTATTAAAAGATTCACCAGCAAGTCCGAAAGCTTGGGCTCACTTTGGATTAGTTGTGTGGATGGAACCAAGCTGGGTGACGACTAGACAGCGTGCAAGAACTGCCTCACAAAGGTACGTTACAAACATTCACAGAAAAGGCTGAAAAGTCCAGCGTTACTTTTTAGTTCTACTGAAGCTACGCTGATAGCACATGCCTTCTCCGTGTACACCTATCTGTAAAACCTTGTTTATGCTTCTGAAGAAGTCTGTCAATGCGTGTGCGCCCGCCTGTCCTTTGTGGAGCTGACGCAGAAGCATAAACTAGCCTTTAGTCTCTTTGCCTGTACAGCACTGTTGAGAACGACAGAGTCTGCTTTATGATGCACATCCTTGAACCCAGATATAGCATACCAAGCCGGACATTTCACTGACTAAACAATTCCTGCCATGTACAAATAGACCAGGGCTAAAAGAGAGAACTTGTGGCTGTCTGCGGAAAGAAACATTTGTTTTTTATGGTTTCTTTACTACAGAAACGTCTGCCCGCAACTTTTTATTTTACACACTTAACCACAACACGTTTTTTTCCCATTGAAAGTAATTTTTTGCTCAACGTTGCACAGAAATGGTGTCACCGTAAGGCACTTAACTTTGTTTTTACACTGATTCTGAATGTTAGACATTTAAAAGCAGTTGATATCTACTTACTGTATTTTAATCATTTTCGGGCAAAATAAAGTTAAACAGTTATACATATTGTAGGCTAACTTATGCAGCAGTATCGCTGTATCGTGATAATATCATATTGTGAGGTACCCCAAGGTTCCCAAAGCTACCCATGATCATTTCAGTTTGCATACAGATTAAACGGGTCCGTAGAGGATGCCATTTCTGATGCTCTCCATCCAGCCCTCACCCACCCTTGTGGATGAATGTTGTTCTTAGATTTTAGTTTAGCATTCAGCATAACCATCTGTCAGCAGCTCATACAAAAACTTCTCTCTTCAACTGGGTACAGGACTTTCTTAAAAGTGATGTCACAAAATGTGCGCATCAGCAATAACACTCCAAGACTATCGGACTGAGCACGGGGCCCCCCACAGGGGTGTGTGCTCAGCCCGTGGCTCTTCACCCTGATGACCCATGCCTGTGTACCAGCTTCATCCACACTGACAGGTTAGTGGATCATACAACCGTGGTTGGTCTCATTACCAGCAATGATTCAACAAACTACAGGAATGAGGTGAGCCAGTCTGGTTCTGTGGTGTACAAACAACTTCCTGAACATGGACAAAACCAAGATTGTGACTGATTTCAGGAGAGGTCACTCACAGCACCCCCCACTGACCATTGGAAGTGCAGCTGTAGAGAGTGAGGAACACCAAGTTCCTGGGGATGCACATCTCGAAGGACCTTTCCTGGCCTGAAGACACCACATCACTGGCCATGAAAGCTCAGAACCACCTCTACTTCCTCTCTAACCTGAGGACTGCATGCGTTCGAGGAACAATTGAACATCCGCACCATCTGCATCTATTTGTGATGTGGAGGCTGCCTCCAAGAGGAAATGGTCTGTATTTGATTTTAGCACCTTCTAGAGTCCTGGAACACCCCCCCCCCCCCCCCCCCAAAAGGTGCGTTACAGCACAATCAGTCATTCACACCCTGAAGGAAGTCCATGCAACACATAGTGGATGTCGCTAGCAAAGTAAATGATGCCCCTCTGCCCTCCCTCAAGGACATTTTGCACACCCACAGAGTCCTCCCACCCGTTAAACTCCCAATTCTGCCTCCTTCCCCAAGGAAAAAGATACCGGAGCCTCAGGGCCCACTACACAAGACTTCCCAACATCTTCACCCACCAAGTGGTTGAGATGCTGAGTGCTCTCCACTCTTCATAAAAAAACATTTGATTTGATAGAAATAGACCAGCTATAAGTTAACTGACATTTATAAGCACACACACACCAACACAGGAGAATGGCGTTTTGTTCATTTTAATAATTTTGTATTTTTTTTTCTTACAATAAGAAGCTTACCTCAGCAAGCTGGAAGAGAGCAGACTGTCTGCAGGGTTTTCCTTCAGGAGCAGCTGTCAGCAGAGGCTGTGAAAACATGACATGCTTTGTCACGTACTGTATTGTGTCTTTTTATAATAACTCTGCTTCATCGTCAGCTGGTGATTCAAAGAAATACTTATAAAGCCAAGAATGTTTACAAATGGCATTTTAAAAGTGTTCAAGTAAACGGGGGGGCTTACTGAAGGCAGCTATAACCAATGTTTATGGTGGAGACTAAATCCGTTCTGGTAAACCAAAATCAGAATTCCTAATCATAATATAGGTATTTAAACATCATCAATACAGAACTGAAGTTATTCAGGGTGAAACTGGTCCCATTCACATTACTCAACCCGGACAGCATTTATGAGGCGGCGCCGATTCTTACCTCCTCCAAAGGGGAAAGCACAGACTGGACCCTGCTTTCAGAATGATCAGGCACTCTGTTAGGAATTGGCCGAGAGTGAATCTGCAGAAGGAAAAAGAGCCGATTATGTCTTCATCGTGCTACTCGTGACCAGTGATGACCTCCCAAAGTCCAGGGCTCAGGCTCACTTTACACTGGCTGTATTGGTGCATCTAACTTCACTCCGAGCCCATTCATGCTCATTATTAAGTAATTAATGATGGTTAAACTGGTTATGCTGGTTCTGCTTTTAACAGGAGTCTGCCTAGATGGGCAGCTTTATCAAACAGTACTGTTTAAATTTGTTATTTCCATTTATTTTTGTAAATCTGACAAAAGTAATCATTTTAAGTACAGGGTATCTGCAGATTTAAGGGAGCCAAATTTAAGACTTTTTAAGACCTTTTTTAAGGCCACTTTGACCAAATTTAAGCTATTTTAAAAATTAAATTTAAGCGATAATTTCCAGCTATTGCCTGGAACCTGTGCTAACCACGTCGCGAACATGGGATTAGCCATCCAGTTACCATTAAACTTGCCCTTCCCCATGGCGCAAGCTCCCACTAGCTTAACCAGCTAATGTGCTTATCTAGAAAAATAGCCCCCTTTCACAACCAACTGACTGCGTACGGTTCCGCTTACGCCATCGTCATGCACAAAAAATGCTGAACACTAACTAGAAATTCACGAAATTTTTATAGAAATAAAAGAATCTTGTTTATTGGGTCTTTGGTAATTTAAGACCTCTGGAAACTGGATTTAAGGATTATTTGTCATTTTTAAGGACTTTTAAGGCCTTAAATTAGGAAATGCTGGGGCGACGGTGGCACAGGAGTTAAGTGCTCGCCCCGTAATCGGAAGGTTGCTGGTTCGAGTCCTGCTCAGTCTGTCGCTGTCGTTGTGTCCTTGGGCAAGACACTTAACCCACGTTGCCTGCTGGTGGTGGTCGGAGGGACCGGTGGCGCCAGTGCTCGGCAGCCTCGCCTCTGTCAGTGCGCCCCAGGGCAGCTGTGGCTACATCGTAGCTCATCACCATCAGTGTGTGAATGTGTGTGTGAATGGGTGAATGACTGATTGTGTTGTAAAGCGCCTTGGGGGGTTCCAGGACTCTAGAAGGCGCTATATCAAATACAGGCCATTTACCATTTACCATTTAAGACTTTTTAAGGACCCGCGGATAGCCTGTAAGTAGACATTTTGGCTCAGCACATCACCTGGAGGGACAGACTCTACAACTATCTGAGACAGAAAAGACAGAAAGATGGACATGAACACACCTCTTCCTTTTCCTCTGGAAAGACGTTTGCCTCGTCGACTACTTCTGGTAAACTGGGTTTAGTGCTTGAAGGGATCTGGAGTAAACAAGTGAAAATCACTGGGGTGAGTTAGGCCAAAAGGAAAAAAAAAGGTGTTAAAATTGTTAACCAAACGGTTAAAACACAAGCATACCTCTCTGTTAGTGAGGGCATGTTCACCAGCTAACAGCAGCATGCTCAGGCCTCCCATCTTCGTAGGGTCTGATGGTAATGGACATAGGTTACTACAGCCATCAGCCACCATCACACCAGTACACATCGTTAGTACACACACCTGCCATGGCAAAGTTTAACTGGGGCAAACTGTCGGTTTCTGGCACTTTCTTAGCAGTAGAATCCTGGAGTGAGCTGCAGGTGAAGGACCAAACCTTTTTGCGGGGACTACCAACAGACTGGCAGGAAGAGTTCTTCACTGGTTTGCTTATTGTGGGACACCACTTGTAGCCTGGGTTTGCCTTCATGAAGGCGTCCTTGTACTAGAAGAGCATCCACAATTAGATTTGAATTAAAAGTTTATTTCATTACTTATTAAACACATTGTACAATAATACAAAATACTGGTGAGTAAATAAAAGAATCAAAAATCAAGAAATGTTTTCTTCCTATTAGAACTGAACTAATGGACTTTGATTCTCTTTGGTTTATTCTTTCAGTCCTTCACTGATCTAAACACTGAAAAAGTACAATAAACTGATAAATGCGGGGTGTCCAAATTCTTGCAGGACATTTGCAGCCTTTGGCAGGATGTTTTCAACCCTGGACTGCGAGCCAAGCGTAGTTAAATGCTGTCCTGCAAGCTGAGAAACACCTTTTAAAATGTTTATGTTCAGTTGTTTATGTGTAAACCCTAAAAAAGGCAGATAAACAAAATAGTTTAAACATGTAAAAAGTTAAAGCTGCAATGGCAAATTTAGAAATTAGCGTAATGGGCTCGACACACGGGAGGCGACAAACGACCATGATCAGCGAAATTTGTCGCTGTCGCTTTTATTGCCTGTCACACGGGAGGCGATCCGCGGCAGCGGCCAGCGGCAAAGCCCTCTACGCGTTCTGTTCCATGGCGAAATCGAAACTTCCGTTGTTTTGATTGGCTGTGTCAGGTTGGAGGGAATTAAGGTTATTTAAGCGGTTCCGAGTTAATAAAGTGGTAGATATGATGGTTCACAAGGTGCTGCTAGAGTTATGTGAAATCTTACTTGTGATTTTACTATATAAAACATAATAATAATCAACTTCTCCATGTTTGCTCGGAGATGTGCGGAGCATCCTGCCCGCTCATTGGTCATTGAACGAAACCTCCGTTGATTGGTCCTCGTCCGAGCGACAGCGATGAAAAGTTGAAAATGTTTCAACTTTCTGGGATCGCGTCGCTGGGTCGTCCGTGCACGACACGTGCACGAGCGCAAACTTTCACACGCACGTTTTTCGCGTTTCGCTTGGTAGGAGGGAGACCCGCGATTATCGCTTTGTCGCGCATGTCTCATTGAAAATGAATGGAGGAGAGGCGATGTCGCCTCCCGTGTGTCGAGCCCATAAAACATTGTTTTCGTGCCTTTTAAAGTGACAGCGTGTATTTTTCCTGGCGGTAGGGGACAGTTAGCGTTTATCATTGTTTGATTTTGAACGATTCCGATTCCAGTTCCTCGTTTCGATTGCGGTTCCTATCGATTCCCGATTCTGATTCTTTCAAGACATGACATGTTTTACATGAGCTAGCTAACCACAGGTCCTACTTGATGAAATAATCTTAACTTCAACATGAATTTTAATTCTATGAACAATAACATCACCTTCATTTAGACAAAAACATGTTTTGGAGACAAAAAGAAAAAGACTTGCAGCACAACCAGCGTGTTTGTTTCTGACCACAACCAAAGTCTGGAAGAAGCCTCTGGGATGAGAGGCTAAATGTCTCCAACGTATCCAGAAACGTCCAGCTGTTTCAGCTAAAACTCTCAGGATGATCATGTCCAGGATGACTGAGAACTACACCTCCATGCTGCAGCAGCGTTCAGTCAGAACAGGAAGTGAAACTTAAACGTAGCTGCTGTCAGTAACAATCTAACAGATTTTAAACATTAAAACTCAACAGAAACAGTTCAGAAAGGAACTTAAAATGTCCACAACTTTGTGTGTGATTTATTATTATTATTATTATTATTATTATTATTATTATTATTATTTATTGTGGCAGAAGCTGGTGTGGTCCACCACAGAGAAGCTGCATCTAGCATGATGACCTTAATTATTCTACAGGTTATTGTTCAGCCTTCTGACGCTCTCTCTCTCTTTCACTCTCACACACACACACACACACACACACACACACACACACACACACACACACACACGAGTGTTGGTGAGCGGCTGCGTCTGACTGCTGACGCTCCGTGTGTGTTTTTATTTCTGCAGTGAGACAAACTCACCTCACACCATCCAGAGTTTGCTCTTTAAAGCTTCTATTAAATCCACCGTGTTGACGACATTTAACACATTTCCTCTACACTGCAGGAGTTAAAGTTAATTAAAAACTGACTCAACTCTAACTCTAACAATGGTTTTGTTTCACCTGATGTTTGGTTCAGATGCAGAAACGTAAAATTTAGATTTTTCCATCCTTACTTTGCCACCATGGACAGTCAGTGTGTAGTTTTACCTCCTTGGCCATATCCGTGTATTTTTGCTTTTCTTTGGGCTCCAGCACCGCCCACCAGTCAGCCAGGATTTTGGTGGCCCCGCGGTTATCAAGACGAGGGTGTTCCTGCCGCACCAGCGAACGGTGGCGTTTGCAAAAGAGGAGGAAGGCATTCATTGGTCGGCGTGCTCGGTGTTCACTGGAGTCTTCCTCAGCATCCTCTGTTGTGCTTGCAGTCTGAACCTGCGAGTCCTGGTCCTGACTACACAGGACTGGCTGCTGATTAGAAAGTTTATGTCACCAAACATTTAAAGTACAGCTCGAGTTTAAAAATGCCACATGACTGAACTCACTTTAGTCAGCTGTTCTTCATCATCTTCTTCCTCTTCTTCAGAGAAATCCACTGTCTTTTTAGATAGAAGAGGGTGCCACTGCAGACATTTGCGTTTGGGCCGCTTGCCAGTGACCTCCCCACCACCAGGTGGCTCCTTGTTCTTTCTCCCACTCTTCATGGTACTACCGTACCTAAGACACAAAACAAGTTCTTTAGCTCTTTGTTTGGTCCTAAACTACAATTCTTAAAGGAGAAATCAATGACATCTGATTTGAATGACGAAGCACGTCTGATGTCTGATTTAATCTGAAAGATAACGTTCACAGAGCTGTATTTCCCCTTTTTAGGGGTTTTGAAAGAAATATTCTCAAATAAGCAACAAGAATGAACTTGTATCAATAAAATGAAGGTTTTCTAGAGAAGCCAGTAACCAGAGTCATTACCCACAATACGATTTTGTTTTTCCTGTGTCCTCAGTCCCTCTAGTTCTGGACGTCTGTGCGTATCTGTGCTTTAACCAAGTTTATTATCCATAAAAAAATAAAGTCTCTTTTCTTTCCTATGAAGACGACATTCAGGTCTACGCTCAGCAGATTCATGGCCACTGTTATTTCTGTAATAACTCCTGTGTGATTGTCTTATAAACACACACACACACACACACACACACACACACACACACACACACACACACACACAGACCCATGTATGTGCATGTGCAGTCAACACCCACACGCACACTCACTCGTGCATGCACATAAATACACTCATGCATGCATACACATACACACACACCCAAATGCACTTGCACACTTGTGCATTGCACACACACATGCATTCATGCACATGCATGCAAACACACATGCACAAACACACACACCCACAAACACAGTTATTTTGGACCTAGTGCTCTTTCCGGATCAATGAACAGTAGCGTCGATGACCAAAAATGACCACTGTCAGCATTTTTTACAAAACATAATTTTTAGGAATCTAACTTTAACTTCTAAAAGTTCCCATCTGAATCAGCAACAGTACTAATCCCCACCACTAGCAGGCGCTGAATTCATCAGTCTGATCATTCTGAGCTGCAGCTTAAACTAGAACAGCTAAAACGGAGTCAGAGTGTTGTTTAGAACAGCTGATTAGTTCATAATAATAATGATAGTTAAGGGCTGAGCTGCTGTATAATTCATGTGGTTTCAGAACAGGAATGTACTGATCTAGACACCAGCACCAGGTATCGGACCAATATTGCACATGTGTACTTGTACTCATAATTGTTCCGACACTAGATCGTGATGCAGAAGGAAACAGAAACAACCTGCAGCAAACTCTGGGGAAGCAGGAGATGAAGTGAGAAGAGTAACGGTGTGGCAGCACACGCATCAGTCCTGAGCATCACGGTTCAGATGTTGTGCACACGTATGAGCAATGCACACATCCCAATAAAACACCAAAGAAAAACACCTAGCTTAGCCCCAGAACAACATACCACCCCCCCCCCCCCCCCATTAGTTGTCACACACACAGGTGTGTGTGCGAAATTTATTCTCTGCATTTGACCCATCCCCTGGGGGAGCGGTGAGCTGCAAACAAGCCGCGCTCGGGAACTATTTGGTGGTTTAACCCCCCAATCCAACCCCTTAGTGCTGAGTGTCAAGCAGGGAGACATTGGGTCCCATTTTTTCAAAGTCTTTAGTATGACCCGACCAGGAATCTAACCCTGATCTCCCAGTCTCAGGGCGGACACTCTACCACTACGCCACTGAGAAAGTCTCCAGTAATCCAGCATGCTGGATATCAGAGATCTGACGGGTCGGTTCTTATCAGATGTGTCGATCCGTGGCAGCAGAGTGATGACAGGTGCGCGTCTGACAAGCAGTTATGTCATTTAATGTTTAATTAGAAACAGGGCTTCACGATATTAGGAAAACCTGCGATATACGATAACAGTGATTAATAATGTGATGACGATTTTACTTGCGACAAATAAAAACTTAACTCAGGAACAAAAATGATCAAAAACAAAGAAATAAAAAAAATGACAACAAACAATTCATAAAAATGAGAAAAGCTAAAGATGTGAGGAAAGGGAAAACGAAAATGAACAAGAAAAGGCAATCAGAGAATCCCGGGAAAAGCAGAATCAGCAGAAAGCGCAGAACAAAGCTAACTTAGGTGTTTGCTAATGCTAACCATCAAAATTAAGTGCTGTCCGCCTCAGGGGTGGGCCTCCAACCTATGAGAACCCACCCAATTGGCCTGATGGGTGAAAAGCTCTGTTTTGTTAGAAAACGTCACGTTTCCATTTGATTGACAGAATGTGTAGCAAACATCTGAGCTGACCATTCATTGCGATATTTATCTGTTCTTTGTGATATGCATACTACGCATGCTGATATCGCGATAACGATATATTTGCAATATATTGTGCAGCCCTAATTAGAAACATCTTATAGCAGCCACAGTAAATTTCCCACACTCAGCTGTGATTTCTTCACATTTCAATTTTAGTATTGTTGCTGTTGGGAGTTTTTATTTAGTTCAGTAGTTTTATTTTTCAGTTCCAAATCAATGAAGTTACCAATCACTCTTTGTTTTTTTATTTTGCTTTACAACCCTTTCTGGGGTTGATCAGACTTCCTGTTTGACATGCATCTTCTAGGACTAGATGAAAAAGACAGAATCTTCTTGCCCTTTCAGCTTTTCCATTCTGGCTCCATCTAACCCTCTCCTCTCCTCATCAACCAGCAGCTTCCTGTCATCTTTCACCACATCCATACTTTTTTTGGTCGTCCTCCTGGTTAGCTCCAGTCTCAGCATCCTTCTACTGGTATACTTTCTATTCCTTCTCTCTACAGGTCCAAACCATCTCAGCCTCTGGTCTGACCTCCAGAACATGTGCTGTCCCTCTGATGTACTCTGACCTGAATGAAAAAAAAAAAACTACAAAAATGTGACTTAGTGCTTTATAGTGCTGATATAACAGGTCCTGTTCTGATAAGCTGAGACCTTAGAGCTGGGGTCACCGACTCCAGCCCTCGAGGGTCACCATCCAACAAGAAGAGGTTGTTTTCTAATTCCCACACCTGATTTAACCCGAGTGATTAGCAGGCTTCTCCACAAGTGTGTTAGATTTTCAAAAATACGTGTTGTAATTTTGTACCAAAGTGTAATTTGGGTCTACAGCCTTTATTAGACCTTGCATCTTGTAACGAGTGTTATTGGTGGAGCCATGATGAGACAGCGGTGTCCTAGGGCTGATCTACTCTACATTAGACCTTCTCATCTGTGTGTGTTTGGTGCTCTGAGCTTCATGGCTCTGATGAAAGAAAAATGAATGAATGAATGAATGAATGAATGAATGATTAACAACTAGAAGCTGCTGCCTGTGTTGATGGACTGAGTGGAAAATTGGATACTTACTGAGGAACAAAACTATGGAAATGCTGAATGAGATGAGGATGAATCTGCCACAGCTCCTGTCATACAGAGACGGTGACCTAAAAAACACAAGAAAGGCTCTCAGTCAGGAGGTCCACTCTCAGCGGTCCGGCCATGCAGGATGCCGCAGAGCCTCATGCCTGGGACCGTGCAGCACGTCCAGAGGGAGAGTAGGCCGAGCAGCTCCGGACGGTCCCAGCCACACCAGAACCATCCAGCTGGCGCAAAGGTTGAGTTGAGTCCAGGAGAAGCGCAGATGTCCTGATAGACAGCTGCGGTTCGGACTGTAGTCTCGTGCTGTTGAGCTTCTCACCAACTATAACGGTTACCGGGTGCTTACCGACCCAAACACCACCGTAATGTCCCCAAACATATTCTATCTCAGCGCTAAAAGTCAGCGTGAACTCCGGCAAGGCTGCCGAACCAAACAAGAGTCCATCTTGCTTCGGTTCGGATGAGAAACCCAAAGTAACGGAGAGGATTTGCCTGCTGTCAAACTCCCCCGGTAGGATGACGTCTCCTGCTCCGAGGCAACAAACACACCCGGTGCTAAATTAAAGTGGGCATCTTCTGAGCTGGCAGGGTGAAATCAGGGAGCAGCGAGCCGGAGCGAAGCGTGTTTGTCTGATTCTGAGAATAAAGTAGCTAGTTAGCCTGCTAGCTCAGCTGCTGCTGCTAAAGAGGCGGTCAGCGCGTGAGATGGTCGCTGAGGCAAAACTAGCTGTTTACCACTCACTAGCACTAACTAACCCAGGAACATAACTAGTGCGGGAAGCCTCATCTGCGGCTTTTAACAGTTCGTTTGCGGGTCTACGATGCGGACAGGAAGGGGGTGGGGGACCTGAAACAGTTGCTTTCACGTTTATTTTAATGCGTTATAAGGAACCTGGAGCGTGTTACAGCAGCGCCGCTACAGACGCCGTCGTGTGTTTTCCTGTCCTGCTTACCGGCGACAGGTCGAGGAAACCCAAACTAAGTCCGAGGGGAGAACCAGCAGGCGGACACCATGTCCACAGCGACTCTCATCTTGTGGCCGAGGAGCGAGCGGGTTTTCACGGGTTTCTGACTCGGACCATCCCGTTCTGGGTCAACATACCTCTGGTACCGGTCTCATGAACCCGTGCACGTCCCTCATCATGGATCCGTCTACCGTCTTTAACTTATTAGCACATGATAACTGTTCAGCACTTGCTGTACTAAGCAAAACTCCGTCAAGTTGCACACGTTACTACGCAGTAGTACCGGAAACGGAGCAAAATCCCATCAAATTAAAACACGTTTAATTTCAACCGATAGGGAGCCTAAGTCACTTCCGCATCATGGGCTCCCGGAAGAACAATAAATAAATAAAATGAATGCAAGTCAACGGGGCTAAAAGAGCTATTTTCTAATCAGCTTTACCTTACGCCCTGGATCGCATACAGGTGCTGGCCAGTAAATTAGAATATCATCAAAAGGTTGAAAATATTTCAGTAATTCCATTCAAAACGTGAAACTTGTACATTATATTCATGCAATGCACACAGACCAATGTATTTCCGATGTTTATTACGTTTAATTTTGATATTTATAGGTGACAACCAATGAAAACATCAAATCTGGTATCTCAGAAAATTAGAATATTCTAAAGGCCAATGAAAAAATGTTTGTTTCTCTAATGTTGGCCAACTGAAAAGAATGAACATGAAAAGAATGTGCATGTATAGCACTCAATACTTAGTCGGGGCTCCTTTTGCCTCAATAACTGCAGTAATGCGGCGTGGCATGGACTCGATCAGTCTGTGGCACTGCTCAGGTGTTATGAGAGCCCAGGTTGCTCTGATAGTCGTCTTCAGCTCCTCTGCATTGTTGGGTCTAGCGTATTGCATCCTCCGCTTCACAATACCCCATAGATTTTCTATGGGGTTAAGGTCAGGCGAGTTTGCTGGCCAATCAAGGACAGGGATACCATGGTCCTTGAACCAGGTGCTGGTGGTTTTGGCACTGTGTGCAGGTGCCAAGTCCTGTTGAAAGGTGAAGTCTGCATCCCCATAAAGTTGGTCAGCAGCAGGAAGCATGAAGTGCTCTAAAACTTCCTGGTAGACGGCTGCATTGACCCTGGACCTCAGGAAACAGAGTGGGCCAACACCGGCAGATGACATGGCACCCCACACCATCACTGACGGTGGAAACTTTACACTGGACCTCATGCAACGTGGATTCTGTGCTTCTCCGCTCTTCCTCCAGACTCTGGGTCCTTGATTTCCAAAGGAAATGCAGAACTTGCTTTCATCAGAAAACATAACTTTGGACCACTCAGCATCAGTCCAGTCCTTTTTGTCCTTGGCCCAGACGAGACGCTTCTTGCGCTGTTTCTTGTTCAAGAGTGGCTTGACACACGGAATGCGACACCTGAATCCCATGTCTTTCATGAGTCTCCTCGTGGTGGTTCTTGAAGCGCTGACTCCAGCTGCAGTCCACTCTTTGTGGATCTCCCCCACATTTTTGAATGGGTTTGTCGTCACAATTCTCTGCAGGGTGCGGTTATCCCTAGAGCTTGTACACTTTTTTCTACCACATTTTTTCCGTCCCTTCGCCTGTCTGTTAATGTGCTTGGACACAGAGCTCTGCGAACAGCCAGCTTCTTTAGCAATCACCTTTTGTGTCTTGCCCTCCTTGTGCAAGGTGTCAATGATTGTCTTTTGGACAGCTGTTAAGTCAGAAGTCTTCCCCATGATTGTGGTGCCTTCAAAACAAGACTGAGGGACCTTTTAAAGGCCTTTGCAGGTGTTTTGAGTAAATCAGCTGATTAGAGTGGCAGCAGGTGTCTTCTATATTCAGCCTTTTCAGAATATTCTAATTTTTTGAGATACCAAATTTGGAGTTTTCATTAGTTGTCACTTATGAATATCAAATTTAAATGTAATGAACATTGGAAATACATTGGTCTGTGTGCATTGCATGAATATAATGTACAAGTTTCACGTTTTGAATGGAATTACTGAAATATTTTCAACCTTTTGATGATATTCTAATTTACTGGCCAGCACCTGTATATGTTGTACTTCAATTTAAATGAAAACTGATTATGGGTGTTTCGACCACGCCTGTCATGTACTTTGACATTTATCAGCTTGTAATTAGCATGACTACAAATCAAACATCGGCACGTCGCATATATTACGCCACCACATTATCTCCTCTTCCCTAGCATAGCTGCTACTTACCAAATGGCCATATGTATGGTGATTCTTTCCTCCTGAAAGATGGATTTCAAGTTCACTGAACTTATAGCCATTTCCCTCTGTTTTTCTCCGTGTTTGGTTCGATGACGTCACTTTCACGAAGCACATATATAGTCCTGGACTTATTTTCACACAAAACCCTAACCCTAACCCACACTGCTAACCTCATGAACGAACCACCACCATTCAGATTGGTGAATCTCTCCATCCCCAGTATTCATAGGTAGTTTCTGCTTGTTATGCAGCAATGGACAGTTACAGTACAGTGGTGTGAAAAACTATTTGCCCCCTTCCTGATTTCTTATTCTTTTGCATGTTTGTCACACAAAATGTTTCTGATCAAACACATTTAACCATTAGTCAAAGATAACACAAGTAAACACAAAATGCAGTTTTGAAATGATGGTTTTTATTATTTAGGGAGAGAACAAAATCCAAACCTACATTGCCCTGTGTGAAAAAGTAATTGCCCCCTGAACCTAATAACTGGTTGGGCTGCCCTTAGCAGCAATAACTGCAATCAAGCGTTTGTGATAACTTGCTACGAGTCATTTACAGCGCCCTGGAGGAATTTTGGCCCACTCATTTTTGCAGAATTGTTGTAATTCAGCTTTATTTGAGGGTTTTCTAGAATGAACCACCTTTTTAAGGTCATGCCATAGCATCTCAATAGGATTCTGGTCAGGACTTTGACTAGGCCACTCCAAAGTCTTCATTTTGTTGTTCTTCAGCCATTCAGAGGTGGATTTGCTGGTGCGTTTTGGGTCATTGTCCTGCTGCAGCACCCAAGATCGCTTCAGCTTTAGTTGACGAACAGATGGCCGGACATTCTCCTTCAGGATGCTTTGGAAGACAGTAGAATTCATGGTTCCATTTATCACAGCAAGTCTTCCAGTTCCTGAAGCAGCAAAACAACCCCAGACCATCACACTACCACCACCATATTTTACTGTTGGTATGATGTTCTTTGTCTGAAATGCTGTGTTACTTCTACGCCAGATGTAATGGGACATTTGCCTTCCAAAATGTTCAACTTTTGTCGCATCAGTCCACAAGGTATTTTCCCAAAAGTCTAGGAAATCATTGAGATGTTTCTTAGCAAAATTGAGACGAGCCCTAATGTTCTTTTTGCTTAACAGTGGTTTGCGTCTTGGAAATCTGCTGTGCAGGCCATTTTTGCCCAGTCTCTTTCTTATGGTGGAATCGTGAACACTGACCTTAATTGAGGCAAGTGAGGCCTGCAGTTCTTTAGAAGTTGTTCTGGGGTCTTTTGTGACCTCTCGGATGAGTTGTCTCTGCACTCTTGGGGTAATTTTGGTCGGCCGCCCACTCCTGGGAAGGTTCACCACATTTCCATGTCATTGCCATTCGTGGATAATGGCTCTCACTGTGGTTCGCTGGAGCCCCAAAGCTTTAGAAACGGCTTCATAACCTTTTCCAGACCGATAGATCTCAATTACTTTTGCTCTCATTTGTTCTTGAATTTCTTTGGATCTTCGCATGATGTCTAGCTTTTGAGGTGCTTTTGTTCTACTTCTCTGTGTCAGGCAGCTCATATTTAAGTGATTTCTTGATTGAAACAGGTGCGGCAGTAATCAGGCTTGGGGGTGGCTACAGAAATTGAACTCAGGTGTGAAACACCACAGTTGGGTTATTTTTTTTAACAAGGGGGGCAATTACTTTTTCACACAGGGCAATGTAGGTTTGGATTTTGTTCTCTCCCTAAATAATAAAAACCATCATTTCAAAACTGCATTTTGTGTTTACTCGTGTTATCTTTGACTAATGGTTAAATGTGTTTGATGATCAGAAACATTTTGTGTGACAAACATGCAAAAGAATAAGAAATCAGGAAGAGGGCAAATAGTTTTTCACACCACTGTAAGCTTGACTCCCATATTCCAGTCAGAATTGACAAAGCTCGTCAGATGAGAAGCGAAACGTCTTCAAGAAACTAAAGTCCAGTCGCCTTCAATCGAACACCTTTGGATATTATAAGAAGACCACTTCCGGGGTCTCATCATTTTTGGAAGTCACCGGTATCAGCTTGACAAAGCTGTTTACATGCAGATGCAATTGGTTTCCGACCGCATTATTTGGATGCCTCAACAAGACGAGCGCGTTTACATAAAAAAAAAAAAAACTCTGTATATTTAGGGCAATAAGTTGGTTTTCTGATGTGCATGTAAATCAATATTTATATCATCGGTGGGACTTGACTAAAAAAAATGATCAAATAAATCAGAGGCTTTGTAATTAATCAAATTGTAATCATTCAAGACAATTTGCCCCCAAGTTCTTTTTCAAAATAAAATATGACGTTAGTGCGTCAGAGATGACATACCCACACTTTAACGAGTAAATTTGTGTAATCACAAGGTCTATTTAATTACTTTGGTCTCATTATAAAGGTAATAATTTTGGTGTTTGTTGGGATGTGAAAATATTAGTACATGTGTTATTGATGAAGTGTAAATATTTATGAAACATTGTTAATGTGTACTGAATGGAACAATATTCGGTAGCAGAGCACTGTTAAAGTATCTATCCGGAGTTTTCCCTTTTCAGAAATTATGATTTGTCAGAAATCCGTAAAAGTGATTATTTTATCATGTACTGTGATAACATGTAAGCAATTATATATATATATATTTTTTTTGCTAAGCACGGCCCCTGGCCCGAAGAGCTCCGTGCAACAGGAAACTGAGCGCCAACCAGAACTAACCAATAGTGTTAGACTTACTTGCTTCAAATTTAAGGAATACCTCGGCTGATGCAGACGTGATGAACTTTTCACAAACAAGAAAGTCTTTAAAATATAAATATATGAAAACACGGCATGAAATGAGAATAATACTTTTAGCTCTGTTCGTCGACTACAGAAGCACGTTTATAAACAAGAAACGTGAAGTCGCCATCTTAAAAAAACTGAGCGACAGACTTTTTGTGTGATATGCTTGCTAGCCACTAGATGGTGCCATCGGATAAGATAAATGCTCCGGAAAGAGACTTTAATACATATACAGTAGAGGTGTAGTGTAGAGTTCAGGGAAGTTCTGCTGAGGGTTACAAGATGAGCGCTGTGTGTATGCCTGTCCCTCCTGCTGTAATAAATGTTCTTATGGAAAAAGTTACTGCCTGCCTGCTTTCTACCAATTACAAAACAGCTGTAAACAGCGCAGACCCCCTAGATACACTACTGACTCATTACACATCCATCAAACTGCCCTTTTGAATATGTCACCCCATTGCACAGAACTCCCTCTGTGCACGAAAACCCCATTCAGGCAAAACAGCGAGAGAAGCTAGCTATGTTGCCTAGTATGACAGACAGAATATCCATTTGTTTCCAAATCCCATTTAGGAGATGTTTTTCATGTCTGGTTCTGTTCTTGCTGGGAGACGTTTATGTGATGGAGTAAAGCCTAGCGTATACTTCTCCATCAGCAAGTTTGCACTCACACACACTCGTATTGACGGAGGGCAACAGAGAGTGTAGCGCCTTTCTGGGGTATCCTGCTATAATTGCAGCCCTGTCTCTAGTATTTATGTATTTCAGAGACTTTTTAGTATGAACTAATTTGTTCCTCATTCTCCTCCACCTCTTTATCCAGTCACCACCTTCAAACCGGTTTCCCATAAAATCCTGACACGAATAAAAAGTTTGCTCTGTATCTTTGCACTCCGTCAGTCATGGTTGTATAAATGTTTATATCATCTGACTTTTTCTGCGAGACGTTATTCAATCTGCTCTGTGATTTCGGTCACTTTATAGAGGAGCCTGTAGAAAGAGGTCGAATTATTTTTTTCTCAAAATGTAGCTTTTTGAACAGCTTTAC